TTCCTAAACTTGAACTATTTACTATCTAGTAGAAATATATCTTTTTTCAATCACATGCATACTAAAAAAAGTTTTATTGTTACAAAGAAATGTCGAAATCATACCACAATCAAATTTTTGAGCATAAGACTTTTGTCTATTTCTTGTAATCCCTTTCTACGCCAAAGCTGTATTCAAACATCCTCAGAAAACTTCGATGATTCCGACAAGAATCCAATGACTTACTTCAAGAGATAAACTCTCATACAATCTGAGGTACTTTTTCAAAAAGACAATGTCTCAATCGAAATTGTCAAAAACTTATAATTATTTTTATCGAGAAAAGTCTCTCTTGTTCTCTGATCTTTAAACTTTATTCAATTGATGAAATCAATAAATTTGAAATTTCCTAAAACAAAAAGCAGAAATCGTATTCTATAGATATTCTGATTACATACTCCAATTTTCTTTTCTGCAAGAATAAGCTCAATGTACACTTTGAATCCATTCTAACATGTGATTTTGTTTCTGTTTCTCACCTGTACGCAAAAAAGCTCACTAACCTCTATTAATAGTCAATTCCTATCTAGTCCTAAAGTATATCAATTAGTATATATATATGTATAGCTACAAATGTTGACAGTTTTCTTTTCTTTTTTTTTTCTAAGCACTATGTTGCTCTGGCAGGTCAACGTTGCCATTAACCTGCACGTTTTCATCATCGCAACATGTATCTAGTCAGAGTTCATCGTTTACCTCTTGGTAATTTGAGTTAAGCAACTTTTCTCAACAATGATTGAAGCGTGACATCTGTGTTGTCTCTATGCATACCATGTAAAAAATACGGAACGCAAGAATGCAGTATGTAAGCATTGAGAAAATGTCGTGCCCCATATACTGACAAGTAATATTGCTTATTACAACTTACCTAGAGGTAAACGATCAACTGTGATCAAATATATGTTGCGATGACGAAAATATGCGGGTTGAAGGCAACATCGACCTGCCAGAGCAACATTCAAGACACAGAATACAGTAGCAACAATTTGCTAGATATCTGCGAATCACATCATGGTACACAAAAACCTATTATTGTCTTTGAATGCTCTCTGGTAGTAGGCTGCCTGTGTTGAACCTTCGTCTACAGGAAGTATCATTCTAACTTATGGAGATATGTAACGCCATATCAATGTAAAAGAGTAAAAAGCCAAACAACATTGATTCTCAAAAAAAACAAGAAAGTGATTTTCATTTTTACAAGATCATTCAGTTAGTAAAGATCAACGAATTGTAACTTAAGTCATTTTTGAATATCTCTACATTCATATTCTTTAAGTTTATCATGGAAAAATGATCAAGCTATAATGACCATGAACTTAGCGGCATTGAATTTCTTCGCTCTAATATTTTTGTTTGGGATTGAAAGTATTTGCTATTGTTTGTTTTGTTAATGAACGGTATTTTTTGAGTCTATAATGTTGTTTACATTGATTTGTGAAAGAAATGGTTGAACTTTGATCGAGAAATAAAAAAAAAAATCTATGATAGAATTCTACATGGTTCTAATGTGTTTAAAGAATTGATGAATGATTCACGAATAAGTTCTGAAAACTCATTCTTCTCCTCTATCGATCAGTGATCGGACGTGTTTTATTCTACTTTATCGTTATCTTCACGTCTTGTATATATACAGGCACGTGTATATAAACGTGACCTTTCTTCCATTAATCTGCTTTTTATAAAGGCTCTTGAAACTTATCCAAGTCTTAGTCTTATACGAAATATGAATCAACAATCATGGACTGATCCTAAAGAAGCGATAATTAATCCAGATGTATTAGCAAGTATGATTCAACAATTTAATGAACATCCGGATTATAGTGAAAACATGGGTGGCAATGGTTCGCCTGTTATATCAGGAGAACATCAAGAAGTAGCCAGAGATGATACACCAAACAAACGTAGACGAAATCTAATTGACGGTGATATTAGTAATACACAAAGTCCGAAAAATCGCCGCATTCGTGGTAGTTTTGGAAGTAAAGACCAAGGTGTTCGTGGACCCATGGTGATACGCAATCAAACCTATGTCCATCGGAATGAACCAAATATAAACAAGAACAATAATCAACATCATAAACAACACTCAGCGAGTTTAAATAATACAAAAAATAATAATGATATAAATGAAGATTTTTATCACTATAAAGTAAATGATCAATCACTAACATATTCTATCGATACACATCTACCACCAATTATATTTGAATGTCGACCAAAAATAAAGGAAAAGGATGCAGCTAAGAAACTGGTTATGTTGTTTTTCAAAGAAATCGAAAAAGATTTTCGACAGAAACATCCTAATCATAGAAGAGCTATTGGTTTTGATCATTGGTGGCAAAACTCAGATGGTGCTCGTATATTAGGTGAAATTAAGGATGTTGATTTATTTATTTACTTATGTGATGCAAAGAGATATCCAAAACAATTAAACAATATTAATATTCTTCCGGATCCACCAAAACGTCTACCACCGCGAAATACTGTTGTAGTTAAATTTGTGAAAAATGATATTGACATTGATGAATTTCGTATTGATATCAAGGAAAGATACAAGTCTATCTTTACGGTTGAGAATATGATGGGTACTATGCGATCCAACAGCCGGCACATTAGGATGGACTTTAGCGATATAAAGGATTATGAATCAATACTTAATAGCGGTGTGATAAGTATACAAGGTCAGCTTTATGATGTCGATGAATATTTACCTGCCCCCAAAATTCTTATATGCTCAAAATGTAATGAACCAGGCCACATTAAAAAACAATGTCAGTTGTCTATTGAGAAATGCAGAAGATGTGGTGGTGATAGAAACGATGGTAGTGATCATAAAATATGTTTAATTAAATGTCAACATTGTGGAAATAAAGAACATTGTTCAAATGATTATCGATGTCCTTCTCTTCTGGATTTTCGTCGTCAAATTGTAGCTGAACTTCGTAGAAGACCTGATTGCTTGCCTCCGCAAGCTCAATTTTTTATACCAGTTGACTGTCGTCCAAAAGGTAACTATACTCGAAAACTGAACAATCCAGCTACTGTACGTCAACAACGAAATTTTACACCACAATTAAATATAAATTCAATGAATGAATGGCCGGAGCTTCCTGTCAGACACTTCAACACTGAACAAATAGTCAACTCAACTGTAAAAGAAATAGAAGAATTAAAACAAAAATATATTGAAAATCAACAGAAAATTGAACAACGTTTTCATGAACAACTTAAGAGTATTCAACATGGCTGGACAGCTATTCAAAACCAAGTATTAACACAAAACGAAATGATCACAACGACATGTAATATTATTGAAGATATATTATTTGATTCATGTCAAACCATAAACAATATGGTTGGAAATATAGTAAATGAAATTAGAATTAAGTCTACAACAGAAGAAGAACAGAAAACATTTTTAATAATTGAAGAACATCTTAAACTTATGACAACAAAGTTAATCGACAAGAAACAAGCCTACAATCAATTTCAAGAACAATTAAAAATATTAATGTTCCAACAACGAACTGCTGCAGCATCGATAATGGACTCATTATTTTCAAAAACGAATGTATAAAGAAGACTTCAGATATTCACCGGCAACAATAGACTTATCAATTTGTAATAGTTTCAGTGGAACTTCCAAAGAAAAAAGAGAATTATATTCTATGATAGATGAGTGGAATAGTAGAGTGTCTATTTCGAACTTATGTACGATCTGGAAGAAGCAGCGTCCTCCTAACTCTTTATCTGAAAATCTTTTATTTCTTTTATATAATTGTGAATGCCTAAGTACCCATCAAGCCGATTTAGATATCTTACTCTCGTCGTATCTTCCGCAAATAGTTATTCTAACTGGTGTAGGATCATTAATTCGTAATTTACCCTTGCTGCCAAACTACTACTGGTTAAGTCAAAAAGGCACGAATTCGTTTGGAGGTGTTGCAATACTAATCCATCATTCTCTTAAGAGTGCAATAGTTTATACAGATGAGAATTTTCTTTTAGCTGAAATTGACATATTATCTTCTAAAATATTGGTTGGAGCTGTGTACGTTCCACCCAACAAACAACTACCTTTTGAACATTTTTCAAGATTAAATGGAAAAGAATTCTATTTATTTGGCGACTTCAATGCTAAGCACTCGTTATGGTCATGTGAAACAAATAATACTAGTGGAAGTGCATTAAAAGAATGGATGGAAAGAAATGGATGGGAAGGTATTTTCCCAACTGTTCCTACTTCAAAACGTTCTTCTGCTATTATAGATTTCGCTCTTACGCACAATAATTCAGGTTGGAAAGTTGAAGTAATTGATGAGGGTACATCAGATCACTTTCCAATTCTCTTTTCATCTCCCTTCACAGCTGCCGAAGATGGTTTCTTCCGTAAAACAAATTGGAATCTGTTTAAATTCTTTTTATCGTTAGTTAATGAATATTGGAATGCATGCGTTTACAATTTTGACGAACATTTTTTTTTCACTCTCTTTTCTTCTTTTCTCTCGTCACTATGGGATAGAACAAGTGAATATATAACTATAAGAAAATATAGACCACCTTGGCCAGCGTATTTAGTATCACTGGCACGCAGTGTAAATAAACATCGACGTAAATATCGTCGAACACGCTTCTTATGTCATATGAATGCTTATTTATGCTCAAAGAGAGAATATGACGAAGAAAGGGCGAACTATTTACAAAAGAAAAGAGAAAATCACTTAACAACAATAAACCAAGGACAAAATATTTGGCGTTTCGTTAACAATACATTTCGTCCTTATACAACCCCATTTCGAGGTATTAGAGTAGCAAACGGTATAGAAAAAGACCCCAGAAAAATAGTTGATATTCTTGGAAATTACTATGAAAAACATTTTGCGCTTCCGATACATAATCCAAATAATGTAACACATATAAAGTCTATTACTGCCTATGAGCAAATTAGTTATTTACCTAACATGCCTTTGCCTTTTGTAACTTTGAATCAAGTTGAAAAACAATGGTTAAAATTTTCAGCTAAAAAATCACTTGATAGTATGAGGAACTCAGCTTTTCTATTAAAAAACTTACCAATTGAATATATGAAAGTTATCACAGTATTATTTAATAAGTGCGCGTCAAAAGGAAATGTATTTGAAGCAAGTAAACATGCTAAAATTATATGTTTATCTAAAGACGGTATGTATCCAACGGAAGATAAGCTCAGACCGATTTCACTTCTGCCTAATTTGGGGAAGTGGTTTGAACGTTGTATACATGAACAAATACAAGAATGGTGTAAAGATAAAGGGATATATACTGATGAACAATCAGGCTTCACACCAAATAGACGTTTACAATCTCGAATTCTGTCAATCTGCGAAGACTTAAAACTAACTGTAGCAGCGAATAATCGCCCCGCGTTATTAATATTCGTTGATTTTCTCTCCGCATTTGATAAAATGTGGTATCCCGCCTTGATAGCAAATTTAGTTGAATTAGATATGCCATTACCATTGATAAAATGGATTTATCAATGGCTTCAAGAAAGAACTATGAGTATACATCATGGAGATTCACAATCGAAAACCGTTAAACTATACGTAGGTGCACCACAAGGTTCAGTTCTAGCTGCAACACTCTTTAGAATACATATTCACTTCCTTCCTCAATATTTTTTTCGTTTTTGTACGCATTTATTTGCCGATGATGTAGCGATTCTTTTAAAAGGTTCATTAGAAAAAAAGCTATCTCAAAATATAATTGAACTAGAAAAACAAGCTAAAATAGCAATGCATATCCTATTATCCTTTTCAGAAAATCATTTATTACCTGTGAACGTGAAAAAAACAAAAGCAATGTTAGTACATAGTGCAGTATCTCCAAGTCAACCGAAAATATTTTTCCAAAATCAACAGATTGATTTCGTACAAAATTTTAAATACCTAGGGGTAGAAATTCGTGTTAAATTAGGATGGGGAAGTTATATAAAAACGCGTATACTTAAAATTAGAAATGTTTATAACGCTCTGAAACAACTTTTCCGACAAATCCCTATTGGACTGATCCATATCCGTAAAAAATTATTCTATGCTTTTGCTTTACCCCACTTTATATGGCTTTTTATGACATGGTTTTACTTTACAGAAATACAACAAAATGAAATAGAACACCTATATGCATCAGGACTACGTATAGTTTATAACCTTTGGGGTTGGGAAGACTATACTGTCTTCGTACTTACAAGAGAAAAATCCCTTATGGACTATCTATATAAATATTGGGAGAAAATGATAAAACATTTACACACAGCTACCGAGGCCCTTGATTACCAACAATCATGGGAGGCATATATTATTGCAACCTCTACAAATCGTAATTACTATAAATCTATGGGATTTAGAAAAAACAGTTTTTTTCTTAATCGTTTGGCAGCAAGGGCTCACCATGCAAATTTGGATATTTTTACTTTCTTCTGTATACATGAGAAACAATACGAAATTTTCAAAAGATCCTCCGCAGTGTTAGAAAGATTTGCATATAAGTATCTACACCCTCCTTAATATATTATTTAAATCGTAATTGAAACTGAAATTTTGATAACTATTTCTATTTGACCTTGACTCTATTAACTATCCCCACACATCTATACTTGACATATACATTTCTTTTTTCTTTTTCTCTATCATTCTTTAATATCATATACTACATGAACCTATATACTACTTTTATTTTTTTGTGAATTTATATATCTCAGACGTCCAGAGGAGATGACGACAGCTAAGCGAGAGAAAAGAGAAATAGCTGTTTATCTTTATCTTTTTTTTTATTCTCATAATTGTATCAGTGTCTGTTAACCCTTTGTGGAACAATAAACTTTCATATTAAATAAGTTCTGAAAACTCCAAAGTTTAGATAGAACTCGTTTTGACTCATTTCATATACCTTCTCTCAAGAAAAAGAAAGAAAAATCGCAACAATATTCATCCTCACTCAAAATGTATCGTGTGTATTTATCTTCATCTATGACTTATATTAGTCGAAACACCTCTGCACCAACATACAACAATAAATATGTCACCAAAAAAACATACTTTTCTCCTTGTAGAATATGATATCAACACTCATATATATTTAGGTTTTCAAATTTTTTTCCTTTTTTTTATTTTGTACACTAGAAAATACAAAAGATACTCGTTTGAACGATTTTTCTGATATATACATTTCATCTTCACTAAAGATGAAGGACATATTTATCTACATTACTGATTGATATTTTTATTAAGAAAATGAATAGTTCCATATAGAATCAGTATTATCTGATGAAATTTTTCGTGAATATTTCTTGATATTTACAATTTCGATTAAGATATAAATCAATATAAATTATCATTCAAAGTCTATCAATGCTAAAGGGTATCCTAATACAAATACTTAAGCGTTGTTTGTTGTATAGGGATGCATAATGAATAATATTCTTATTCCATTAATTCAATTGATTTTGAGTGACTATCAATCAAATGCTATTCATAGAATGTATTCCTAACTAGAAGAGTATGTTTAAATTATTGATAAATTTTGCTTTTTCCTGAAGAACGAAAATATTGGAACAATTATCTGCTCTTTTAAAAGGACTCATATATCTCTACATTTACATTATAGTTGACCTAAAAAGTGATTCATTCTTGCCTTGTGAGACACCAACTTTCTCCTATACATTTTATATATTATAAATTTGTTTTTTTTGTTTTCGTTTCGAGTTCTAGTAGGATGTTTTCAAGAGATAAATGCGAAAAATAGTGTAACAAGACAGAAAAATTATTGAAAGTAATTGAATTGTTTCGTGGAATAATTTGTGTCACTATAGAATTTCTTTATACGATTACCAACATAGGTAGTCTACTACTACTCGTATAAAACTTAAATTGATAATAATTCTAGGAGTCAACAAGACCACCGCTGATATGATACTTTTTTTAACTTATTACTCGATTGATAAAATAGAAGAACCAAGAGTTCAATATCATTTATTATGAATTTGAAACACATTGAAAAATATTCAGTTACTTCTGATTCCTATACCTGCGGCTAATTTAATTTTTTCCGTCTAAATATATACAACCACATGTATCATGCTGTAACTGTTTTCTTGATATTTAGCAAAAAAAAATTGTTGCTCTGACGGGTCAACGTTATGATCAACTCGCACATTTTCGTCATCGCAACATGTATTTGATCAGAATTGATCACAAAAAAACAGAAAAAAATGCTGAGATATAGGAAGAAGGAAAAAAAATCGAAGTATAGCTTTGCTAAATGACGGAAAAATACAAAACGTAAGAACGCAATGTGCAGACACAAAACAATTGATATGCCCTATATACTGAGAAGAAAGATCGCTTATTACAACTTAACAAGAGGTAAACGATCAATTTTGATAAATTACACGTTGTGATGACGAAAATGTGCGGGTTGATGGCAACATAGACCTGCCAGAGCAACATATTACAGCAAATAGAAATAGTAATAAATCAGTTCGCTGTAGAATACTTGATTGTTTACATTATTTTGAGTACATATCTTTTTCAGCAGCAAATTGAAACTCTATAATATGTCCGTGTCATGATATTTTATTTAATGGTACAATTGAACTGAACTGTAAAATTATATAAGTGTCTACTTTTTATTTCATGAAATATAATACTTGTCTATATGTCGTAAAATGTTTACTGAATAAAATGAAATATTTCGTTTTGGTGAATAAATTGCATTATACAAATATAATATATTATAACTTATATCTTCCAAGATAAAAATGCTTGTTCTGTGTGATCTTTTTAGTGCGTAATTAAAATAAGCAATAACGATTTTAGGAGAATTTATTCAGAATAGATATGGATCAACATTTCAATATTAAATCTATTAGTATTTAGCAGGCAAAAAAGAGTGCTTCTACTATTTTACAAAAGATTTCTTTCATGTTTCTGCACTATTGTTTTGAACGATAACGAGATAGGGAACTCAAAAACAAAAACGTAGAACCAATCAAGTTTAAAATTATGAAAGTGGATGAATATTATTCTAGATCTATCTTCAAAAAGAATAAGAGAAATCTTTATGTTTGAAAGCAAGATAGTTATAAATTATTCTTTTGTATTGAATAAAAGTATATATTTTTTTCATTGAAAGAAAGTAATAATATAATGATGAAACGAATGGTATGATTTAAAAATATCGGTAGATATTCCATTCTTGGAAGAAAGACTTGAAAAGCATGTTGAAAGCGTAACAATTCTCGTTATGATATCTACGAAATTTTGAAATAAATAAATAGTCGTTTGCAATACTGGGGAATATTTCGTATATGATGGTAATTCGATACTCTAGAGTTGTTTTTCGATCATAGGTTATGAGTAATCATCCAGCATTGCTTCACAATCTTATGCTATTACTTGATGTCGAGTTTTATCTTGAGAATTTGAAATATGTATATTGTTCAAATATATTCTATTTGTGTTATTCACATGTGATTCTATAGAGGTATTTATAATCATTTTGCATTGTATATGAAAGAAACAAAATCAAATGTTATAACAAAATCGACATCTGTTTCAATGATGGTTCTTGGTTGATAGAAATCTTACACTCTAACCTTGATTTCATTCCAACATTTAGCCACAACAATCTTTCACGGTTTATTTTCCTTATTGAGTGAATGCTCATGAGAGTGAAGATTCAGTTTACAAACAAGGTATGAACAAAAAATGTTTATAAAACCAATGAAAGATGTTTTATAGAAATTCAGGTATGTCTCAGAAAAAACAACTATTATAAAAATGGCTTATATTCTGGTTAAATTCACAAGAATGTTAGCACAGAGTCCTGTTCTATTTAGTATATGTCAAGAAATTTCATATTTGTGATGAATACCACTTCATTTAGTCGTTCTCTTATACTTTGAGAAGTCGTTTTCTATTTATCAACATATTCAAAGGATTATAAGGGACAAAATCAATTATAATGTCAACTAACACCTATGAATAAAAAGAAAAAAACAAATGTACATTATAAATTGTCTATTAAGACAGAGGCAAGTAGTAAATGAACCACATCGATCATTTTGAGATTAAAATTTATTTTTTTTTATTCACCGATCATCAATTATAATGTTTGACTTCTAAAAGTTGTCAATTCTTTCACGTCAAGAAATTCTCTTCTTTTTATTATATATATAAGCTAATGAGAAAAAATAATGAAACTAATCTTCATAATGATTGTGATCAATCCGTACCACCATCTTTCAATTACTAATTTCTTCTAATTGTTTATTGATTTAATCAACAATAAATATAATCTTACCTCTCTTCCTATATTTTCATACATTTTTCAAAAAGCTACAATTAGTGTAATGATCCCCTACGCATGAGTACTATCATTCGAACAGTAGTATAAGTATCTCAATCATAAATGCATTACGTAAAGAGATGTCGACCGAAAAAATATTTTCATTTCATTTTCAATTAATAAATGGGTTCCTGTTTCCCGAAGGAACCGGGAGTGAACCGAACTCGACGGCACTGCAGTGTCGAGACGATCCGTGGCACAGGTACGAGTAAACTGTGGGGTATGGTGGAAAAAGGCAGAAAGGAAAAATATCGAAAGGGAAAAATGTCGAAAATAAAAATATCGAAAGCAAAAATACTACAAATGTGGATGAATAGAAATGCTGAAAACGAGAGTATGTTAAGTAGAAATCTTTCTTACCGCCACCTCCAATCTTACATGTTCATTTTCACCTCATATTCTTGTTTTCGACATTTTTATTTTCGATATTTTTCCCTTTCGACATTTTTCCTTTCTGCCTTTTTCCATCCATTCAACTGTGGATCCCGGCCGATATCCAAAAATCTGCTTGAAAGAGCCTGGTCCCAATGAGACCAGCGTCGACTTTCAAACCGACGAGAACAGATACTACACTTTGATCTTAGCCGAAAAGGCCGAGAAGCGATAGCTATTTTCCATTTAATGAAATCTCGATATATGTTCTGTCGTTACACACTGTTTAAGGTAAAAAACGGGAAAAAAATGTGTTGTGTAAAGACAAAATAGATGTCATGTCCCAGGTATCGTCGAGAAATATTGCTTTTTACAACTTACAAGAGGTAAATAATGAATTCTTACCAAATACATGTTGCGATGACGAAAACGTGCGCGTTGATGGTAACATCAGCGTGCCAGAGCAACATTCTTTGTAAATCAAGAATAAAGTTTTCTCATGTCGTTGTCGTAAAAATGTGATAGAGAAATCTCTATGTATTCGTATTCTTTGTTAGGAAAAATAGTAATGCATTTCCAGGAAGTTGCTATGGAACAGAGTAGTGTAATCGAACGGACTTTCTGTTGTGATCGCGATAAATATACAATAACAAAATGGTTTTTGATATTATTTATGGAGTTTTAATTTGATTGCTGGTTGTTATTAGAATACGTCATCGATGTTATGATATGTCGTTTGGATTTTTTGTTTTTGATTATACTCATGTGGACCTATTAGTTGTAGAATTTTATATGTTAATTGTAGTTGATTCTCTTTAGGTGATTATAATATAGTCTTTTCTTCATAGGGTAATCCGTCTATGACCTTGTATGAATTAGAAAACTGTCGTTCAACGGAATAAAATAGTTCATTAGCATCAAGTAAATGAAATGATGTATCAGCAACTGTGGATAGAACAATTGTTTTGATATTTTTGTAGCATGTCGAAGATCATGTAAAGTTTGCAAAAGAGTTTCAGGAGAGTGTCACATCAGAAAAAGGAATTATTTTATTAATACTTTATTCATAATAACGTATTAAATATTGATTATTTTTAATGAATAAATATTCAAGTATTATTCGACATCATACTTCACTACATTAAACTTTAGCAGTATGATCTGAATTTTGTAATTTTTAATCATCTTCTCTACATAGTGTTACTTCTGAGATTTAATTTTATATGTTTTATTTTATTATGGGGTGTGGGTGTGGGTGTGTGGGTGTGGGTGTGGGTGTGGGTGTGGATATGAATGAAGAAAGAACATACCGACACCAACATCCACACCCCACACACCCACACCCACCCACACCCACGCCCACGCCCACCCACACCCAACACCAACACCCACACCCACACCCTTCTATTTGCTTTAGTATCAGTGAAAAAAAGTCTACTGATAAAGATACTAATGTTTAATATCATTTTTTTCTTTACAATCGATATATTTTATTTTCGTTCTGTCCAAACTCGTATTTTAATACATGTCAATAAAATGACGAAATAATCCACATCACTAGTCGACTTCAATTTTATCTTTAATGGATTTTCCTTCTTCTAGGAATGAGTTCAACAAATATACATTTGAAACAAGAAACCAGTGGATGTGAGTATGGGTGTGAGTGCAGAAAGAAAGACTTATACCTATCGCGCCTCACCAAACTCTAGGTCATGCCGTTTCTATTTAAGAATTTGAAAGATTATAGGAATTAGGACAGGAATTACATAGTCTAGTTCATAAAGTACAACATTCGAATTTTGCTTCATTTGCCGCTGTATCATCTCCCTCCTCTTGTATATTTTCTAATTTTAGTGAAAATCCACAGATAGCTGTTGATGGAGGACAATATTTCATTATTTTCCCATCGCCCCATGGACCACCATTCGATGCGAAAATATTGGATGATTGAGAGCATGCAAATTGAGAATCATTTGCAGCTGTATCATCACCTGATCCTTGAGATTGTTCGATTTTGAATGAAACACCTTTCAAAAAATTATTATTTCCAGGACAACGAACGACATTGAGGGTGTGGGTGTGGGTGTTAACAGAAAAAACACACGCGCACCCACCCACCCACACCCACTCACACCCACACCCCACACCCGCACCCATACCCACCACCTACAGCCACACCCACTCACCCACAGCCACATCCACCCACACCCCACACCCACACACCCACACCCTCGTTTTTTGTACACTACATTTGGTGTGAGTGCGAGTGAGAATATCTGGGAGAATCAGATTTACACTCACACCCAAAACGATGTCAAAGTTCGTAGGATTTCTCAAACTTAATACTGATTAAGAAGGATTATATGGAAAAAATAGTTTTAAAAGATTTGAATCAATAGGAAAATGTATCTTTTGTTTGCTTCTGCGCCACGTAAGCACGCACAAGCATCGAATCACCAGCTTCAATTGGAGTTAGTTGCGTCGAATAGGTCATTTGTTTTGTAGTAATCTCGTTGAGCATTATATTATTGGAAGATGATGAAAGAAAGGTAGTTCGTGTCGCTGTCATCGATTGAACACTTAAGGGTGATGATGCATTAGATAGAAAAGAATCTTCACGAATAGAATCTATCATTGGTGTTTTAGACTTATCATTAATATATTGTCGTCTATAGTTCCTTGAATCTTCATCATAGAAGTTAGTAGAGTTGTCACATGAATTACCATTGCATTCTCTTGTACATACTGCACAGTGGACTTGCTTGTCTTTCCAAAATGTCTGACGTAATCGTCTCCTAAGCAAACGAAATGAATTCAATGCACAAATGGTAACACAAACACATATCTACGCACCAGAAAAGTCCAGAAGACCATCGACAACAAAGGCAACAAACCAATATAACCATGAGAAGCAATAGTAGAAGACCAAGACCTAGTCCTAATCCTAAGAGAAGAGATAAATTATTTCGTGATTCGAAGTTGAATATTTGTGAAGTCGATGTTGTCGACGTCGTGGATGTGGTTGAGATTGTTGACGTTGTTGTAGTTGTGGATGTTGTCGAGCTGGTTGAACTAGTCGACATTGTTGAAGTTGTAGTGCTGGCCGACGTTGTGGAAGTGGTCGAGGTTGTTGAGATTGTCGAAGTCGTGGATGTAGCAGATGTTGAAGTACTGATCGTCGTAGTAGTTGTTTTTGATGTTGTTGCCGATGTTGTTGTTGTAGAAGTAGTGGTTGTCATAGTTTTTGAAGTCGAACTAGTAGTTGAAGTTGAAATTGTTGTTGTCACACAAATGTCTGCAGAATTTTTCACAGTAAATTTGACACAGTATTGAGTAGATTGTAAATTTTCACTAATCAATAATAAGATAACATATATTAAATCTTAAAAACTACTGAAGAAAGATTTTACCTTGTAAATGCAATGAAACATAATGTTTGAAATCCAACTTGATTTGTTCCTGGTGTCCAACTAAATGTTATGTATGAAATCGATGAATTCGTTAATGAACTTGTAAGATTACTACTAGTTAAACCATTGATATTAGTTGAAACAACAATATCAGTAAGTGTCGCTATAGTTGAATTACATAAATTCATTGCAGATATATTGAAACTAATTGTGATGCCAACTTGTACTTCAAGACAACCAGTCAAAGGCAAAATAATTGGCTTGATAGAACAGACTGGTACTGGTAGAACATAGATTAACATGTGTACTGGCACTGAACTCAGAGGTGTTGTACTTGTCGTATCAATAAAATCTTCAACCTAGAAATAAGAAAACATCATTTCGTGCTATGTCCGAATATGAAACAACTATTTCGATAAATCACAATAGATAAAAATGTTCGTAATACATAATCTCATCCTTAATTCTTTTTACTTCGAAAATTTCACACATTTGATATCTTTCGACAAATTTCAAATCAGCTACATCATCAAAGTCGTGGGACTTCGATAGATATATATAGTTTAGTTTGAAAAGAGAAAATATCAACGTTATATGAATAAGAATATGCTTACCTGAATAGCAATACCATACCAGATACCAGCTTTTGGACCTGTGAATGTGATAGTACAATTGGAGAGTGTTGTACTACTAGGCAAACTACTAGGATAACAAATATCACCACATTCATCGATTGCCTGACGGATGGGGTACGATGAAGTTGATCTTAGTGTTCCTATAGTTTCGATAGTCGTGGTAGTGGTTGTTGTCACAGTTGCATTCTGACAACCTGCAATTAGATTACAGGTCGAACCAGTACATAAAGCAGGTATACAGTTGCCACACTGACAGGTACAACCATTTGAGCAGTAAGTAATACAACTAGGACCACCTCCAGCTCCAGAACCACAAGGAGCTCTTTTCTCTCTAATATGACTCATCTCTCTATTGTTCGGTAGGTCTTTATATAAATGAAGATCAGTTTGATATTGAAAATGCTCTTTTTCTTCATTTGATCGTTTTCGTCTTCGATATCCTGGTATATATACTGACCATCGACAACGCACATCATCATTGACATTGGCATCCGATACAGGAATAGTTATTTGTGTTGTTCGATTTACAATAGCATATTGTGGAGAAACAAATTGTGCAACAGGTGCTGTATTAATGATACCATCTAGTCGTTTGCGAAGATCAATGAATGTTACAATAGACCATTGAAGAGCTGCTTGGGAAGGATCATTCAAAGGTGCCCATGCAGTTCCTGTGTATGCTAAATAAAAATGGGCACCAGCAGATAATGTAATATTGTTCGATCGTGTACTTGTCATCATTTTCAATGCTGAACTAGTCCATATACAATCAGTGAGAATATTGATGGGTGCAGTAGAATATCCACCATCAGTAGAACAATCAACCATACAGATAAGGTTAGTAGTTGAAGCACTAAATGCAGTTGTTGTGATTGGTACATTGTTTTTACATTGTACATATGGATATGTCCATGAATATGTTTGTGTAATACTGATGACAACTGACGTATCATTATCATATGGATCAATAGATGCCCATGTTATACTACCTCCATTGAAATGTTTTTCATTAGTAAAAATAAAATAAGAAAACAATATTAATAAATCCAAATACATTATTTTGTTATGATTTTCGTCAACGTATGAGAATCTTGAAAGTTAAATCTATATAGGAATATTAAAAGACTAAAAACAGCATAATCATAAACAAAAAAGTTCATGAATGTATTTTTCATTCTCTACAGTACAAACTGCGAAACATTAACTGCCAATCGGATATTCTTTTCAAGAAAGAAAAAGAAAAAAAATGGTCTGATGACATGTGAAGAAAGTTTGTTTATTAGCACTAATTTTAACTATATGGACAATCTCGGGAGGAACGTACAGATACTGTCGTTAAAACTAAGTTTTTCTGAACATTGTTTTCATATTATAACAGAACGCATTTGCAATAATAACATATTTCAATATGCGAGACTTGACTATGTTTAGACTGTTTAAAAATAGAGACATTACTAAAACAATTTCTATCTCAAAATCAATGTTAATGAGATAGTTATCTTCACCAATAGATACATTCACATACAAGTATGTTGACGAAGTAAATGTCAATATATATATAAGTCTAGCTGTTATCGAAAATAGATTAAATATTGTTCAAATAATATTGCTGCTGAATAGACAAATGAGACCATTCTGGAGCGAATATTTAAAAAAAAGTAATTTCTATCGTTTCTTATTATTTCGTCGAAGCTTGCAGCAGAACTTGTAGAGTATTGTAAAATAAAGAAATGAATAGCATATATGTGGCAGTTGCTTACCACTTTGTACGAAGCCGTATTAATGATGATTGATTTTTATATTATTTTCAATTCGTTCTATATTTAATCACAGGACGATGCTCTCGCAATAGTCACCAGCAATAAATGACTGCAAGGTATTTTTAAAAAATCGAATAAAAAGAAATTTTTTGTTGATAATAAAGGTAGAATATAAAAAATCTATATGTTCGACAAAAATGAAACATGATTGCATTACACAAAACAGTCATTCCATAAGACATAAATAAAGTTTAGTTATGAAGGTAGTGCCTTCATTTTAAATAATTCTAAGAAATTTTATTAGACACTGAGTATTTCTGAAGGGCTTGACATATATAGGTATAGTTTGTCAAATATCAATTGCACAGTTATCAGTAAAAATAGGATACATGATGGATAACTTTTAGAAATGATGTCTCTCAATTATCATAAACTTCAAGGACGATAATGGGTGTGGATGTGATTGATAAAAAAACATTCCCGCATCCAAAACATTATAGTTCATTTCATCGATCCGCAAAGAGGTAGTAAAGTTTTATTAACGTGGAATTTCCAATTTAGCAAAGATAAATAAGTTACTGAATTCTCATTTTATGAAATAGAAACACTGACGAAGAAAAATTTCCAAGTGTCAAATCGCTTTTGAGCCGAGATTATGAACATAAGGTAGACCCCAGTGAGAGACATGAGAAACCCCAAAAGAATAACTGCCCTTGGGTCTTCTGTCCAGAGTTATAGAAATTTTGCTGAAATTTTAGCCCCTTGCATAGTAAATATCACTAGGGTGTGGTTGTGGTTGTGGGTGAGTGTGGCTGTGGGTCTGTGTGATTTTTCACTTCATCAACACCCACACCCACCACACTAGACCCTGTCGGGTCCAGAATTTTCGGACCCGGGTCCGGTCGCTTAAATTTTTTGGATCCAAACACAATGACAAGTCAGTTTAGATAGTATAGTCAAGAAGGGTTTTGTTGTTTTTTATCTACTTTCTAAATACATTTGATTTCTTCTTTGTATAAAACGAACAACACTTTAAAAAAATTTAAAATAAATTGTATGGATCAAAGTTTCCTTCATACCTGGACCCGACCCGGACCGGACCAAAGCAAAATTTTCAGACCCGGACCCGTGCGGGTCCGAGTCTGAGTCCTACCCGACGGGGTCTACACCTCACACCCCACACCTGCCCACACCCACACCCACAGCCACACCCCACACCTCACACCCCACACCCCACACCCCACACCCCACACCCCACACCCATACCCACAGGCACCCACACACCCACATCCACGCCCACCCATCCAAACCCAGACTCACACCCCACATCCACACCCACACCCACACCGACACCCATACCCACCCACACACCTACACCCACCCACACACCCACACCCACACCCCAAGATAGAGTGCGTCAAGATCTAGCTGTAAACTCAATGATTAAGTTGAAAAGCATTCCTGGGCGAATGGCGACAAGTTTTTCGAGAATTGATTGCATTTTACATGTTTTTTTGATGGTATTTGGGGATTTTCTCAGTTTGAGGGGAAGCTAGAGAACAATGAATGATGTGGTTGGATAGAGCTCGTCGAGTTCTACTTGAAAAGTTGTTGGAGTGTTTTGGAAAGTTTCTTGAAGCGAATCCTTTCAGGAAATACTCGAATCCTGACATAAGTTATCCTACGTAATTTATGATTCTATTTATAACTCAGATAGTCTTGAGCACATCACTGCTTCGAATACAAGCCATCCAATCAGACTTCGTTATTAGCAGAATCGAAACCTGCCATGGCTGCTGGTACTCACACGTTCAAATTTAATATAAAAGACAACGCACTGCTTAACATACCTGAAGAGTCCCTTGAGAAAGGACGAAAATAGTTGTATCATTTC